CAACTGGTGTCACAATTTAATACCATTATGGTTAATCGGTTTCAACTGGAATCAACTGGTTTGTTTTCAGCATGTGCCAGTATATTCAATGGGTTTCACCTGGGATATACTGTTGCATGGGAAGTTAACCGGTTATGTCAACTGGTTTCAACTGGTACCAGTTGAAACCAGTTGAATAAACTGGCACATATTCCAGTTCCTTCAAAAGGATTTAACTAGTACCAGTTGATTCCAGTTGATACCAGTTGAAAATCCAACTGTTTTCAACTGGTTTTTTTTACCTGGGTTTTTCTCATTATAACACATAAGCATACACTTGTATGTAGGGTCAATCTGTGTTGTTTTACTTTTCCATCAGGAATCCTTGTTGGAGGAAAACACATTTTACTAATACTGTATTACTTACAATTGGTATAAGAAGTTACACTCTTTACCCCCAATTTCACTTTTTTTGGAAAGAAATCCTTAAACTTTGAAATATAAGTTTGTTCCCTCCTAGTTTGACTTGGCAGTGTCATTTGTACCGATTTATATGAAATAACTTTCCCATTTGAGTGAATGTCTTATTGTATTCCCAAGTTCCCCTTAAGATACTGATAGCCTGTTTATTAACATTTGGTAGAAACATGGCTCCCTACTTCCCCTTGTGATGAATCAACCCTTTTAGTTAATCACTGTGGTTAAGCACAAGGAGAGATTTATCTATTTCGAGGTCTCTGACCCTCCTTTTCAGGGATGGTGTGACCCAAATAAATGTTTGAAAGATAAGCTGGACTTTCACCCAAAGATCATTTATAGTGAATTCATTCAATATTGTGTTATATATGAACGAAAATATATCATTGTTTTTATTATTACTATTACTACACTGTATTTTCATGTATAAAATAGGGTCAAATCGCTTGATAGGTGTACACATTGATGGAAATGGATAACATTTTCTTTTGTTGGAAAACGGTAACAATGTTTGTGTGTATTGTCAATGAGCAAAGTAACAATGCAATAAAATAATGCAAAAATCATGATGATAAAGAGATTGGAAAGTTACTATTTTTTGCTGTCAAAAATGGTTGTTGAAGCAATTTGATGTACATGTATTGGTTGAAATTCACAAACATATTGATGTAAATCTGTCTTAGTGTGAAATAGTATGTATATTTCTGTAATTGAGATTATTGATACACATGACATGGTGACTTTGAATCTCTCAACATGTTAATACTAAGGTTATTTTCCTTTGTTTCTTCGCATCAAACACAATATGGTCTTGCAACAAAAATGGACACAGTGTGCGCAGAAATGTTTGCCCATTCTATCCATGCATCTGGTATATTTTTAGAACTCTAAATCAACAGTTATTGAGTCAACCTACAAAATATAGATTTCTAGAAAGGGATGAAAATAGGTATAAGTTGTGATGTGGATTGGAGACAGCTGGGCCATTTAAATTGTCATAAAGAAAGGCAAAATATTGTTTTTATCGTAAAATTTGGAGTTTGATCAATTCAGAGTTATATAACATGTTGGAGATATAGATATAATCTATATGCCTGTCTTTGCTTCTATTAGAGAATGTAAAATAATTAATTGGTTTAATTGAAGCAGTTTAAGGTGTGCACCATCAATGAATATGCCTCAGCATACAGTAAAATAATCTCTGTAATTAATCTGAGCTTGATATTGTGATTAGAGATTATCATAACAAATATTCTTACACCCAAGAGTGAAACCTTGGCAGTAAAACCTTGATGCCTCTCAGAAGTTGGAATATGCTTGTCATATTTTGCTAGATACTTCCTGATTTTATTTCAGGAAAACAGTTATCACTGAATAAGTGCTTGTATTTGTAGAGTAATAACTTATCCAGAATATTCTTTTTTGTGTGAGTTTATGAAAGAAAACTACTTCCATTGCATCGGATACATAAAAAACCCATCTTGTTGTCAATTTAACTCTGGCAAAGCCACCACAAAATTAAATTGGTGATGAATTTTTTTTTTTTTTGTATAGAAATCGTTCACCACATTTAACAATGACTGTTTACCTTTAAAGAAGCGACATGAAGGATGTCCCAATAGTTGTAAGATGAACCCTTAATTTTATTTATTCTCATGAATCTAAAACTCTACCATGTTTATTTAATTTCTCATTTTGCCTTTAACAGCAATAATAAAAAGAGCGGTAGGGCCTAATGTTGTATCAAAGTTGAGAATGATTTGAGATAATTATAATTATCTCAAATTTTGTAACTTCCTTGTTTTAATAAAAATTATATTTTTCATGCAATGGTAACAGTCTTCTAAGTTTTTTTTCTTGTATTTTATATAACCATTCTCTAATTTGTGTTTAAATACAAAAATTATGTTTCATGATAATGATGTCGAGTTTGGGAGGTATGGTGAGAGAACATTAATAGCTGTGAGTGGGTCATTATCACAGATCATGGTGGCTTAGATTGCCTGCATTGTCAATTAAAGGGAGTGGTTAACTTTGTCTCAGATTCTGAAACAAAATCCTGGGTTTAGCTCATGTTGCAATGATAATTATAAACCTTCAGGTCAGTCATCAGAACCCCATTACTTTTACAAGCTGATCGCCTGTCTGATTATCAACATATTTATGATTGGAAATATCAGGCCTGATAATTACCCGTTAATTTCCAGATTTTTTTCTTCCCCGATTTAACCCCTATTTTCCCAATTTTCTCATTTTTCTCACTCAAAGGGGTGGGGGGATGTTGTTAGATGCCATTCGAACCCCTCCCCGTTTTCCTAACGGGTTTTATAACACTACAGTCTATTGGGGAAAATGCGTATGGTAAGACAGGCCACTCAAAGATTTTTACTTTTTTGAGGCACTTCATGATCATTTTGAAGCGGAAATTTTGTAGGGCTTCAATATTATAGTATTAATGACTGCTTTGAGAGAAATAGTTGTTTTTATACGCTCAAGGGAAGGTTAGAATTGTGCTATTACCCGAGGCGTGCCGAGGGGAATAGCCCAATTGTAACCTTCCCGAGAGCGTATAAAAACAACTATTTCTCGAATATTAAAGCAGTCATTAATACTTTTATATGCCGAAAAAAAATAGACTAAAAAATAAAAAAATAAAAAATACTTTTTTTTTTTGTCGAAGGTGAGAGTCGAACTCTTGCGTACAATGAGTGATGAATCTTACACCAATGCCTTACACCACTCGTCCATCGCGCGCTGTTCACGTGCTTGGCAGTTTTGTACTATATATACATTAAAATGGATTAAAACCGGCTTCGGCGTGATGAATGCTTCGCAAAAGCTCCATTAAACGGACCCTTCTTTTACTTTTGCAATGCATATTGGCACGAACTTAGATCAAGATCTATCGGCAGATGTTGTTTTTTTGTTTTTGGAAGTTTATTTTCGTCTTCATGTCAACAATGCAAGATAAAATTGTCGGTAAGATCGATCGAGATTCAATTGTATTGAAATTACCGACCAATCCTTCGCACACATACGGTATCCTCGATCGCTCAAACCATTTTTTAACATGTAAACCTATGGGGTAACCATGGAGGCTGACCTATTTTTTTAATAACCATGGTTATTAAAAATAGTGAAATGTTTTATGCATGGTTACCGAGAATTTTACAGGAACAGTTGAAGTTTATGAATGCAATTTCGACCAATCAGAGGGCTGGATTACTTAAGTGAGGTATATAATACACCATATCACAGACACTGATAACACGTAGGGCCATGCATCTTAGATTTAACGTTGTTAAATGATGCTTTTTAACTTTTAAGGAAATATGTTATTGGCAGATCCAGGAGTCTGTGAACGGGGAGGGGCAGGTTAAAAACACTCCCATGAAATAAATAAATGAATACTTAAAAAAGAGGGTAGGCACTTGCACACAACAGAGGAAAAGAAGGGGGAAAATATTAAATACTTTCACAGGGGAGGGGCTCGAGGACCAAAAAATTTCTGACCAGCCCAACAAATTAAAAAAATGAAAGAGGTAAACGGACAAAAAAGAAGCCTTTGGGTACACCTCTGGGCATATTTTCCTATTATGAAATGATCGAAGGGCCTGTACCCCAAAGGTTCCTCCCTGTATCCGTTAATGTATTTAAAATTTACTCTAAAGGTAGCAAACTTGATCTTCAAATGTCTTCTAAAGTTTCGTTTACATTTTCATGCATGCATACATGCACATGTACACCCTGTATTTTCGTAACTGATACTTGACCCATAAACAACTTGGAACTGAAACGGAAATGGTTGTATCTCGATGTTAAACTTTTAATATGAGCAAGCCATGGATTAAAAGACGCACATACACGAATTTGTCTGCCACCCTACCCCTTTCCTGAATCTTTCCAGCTTCTAAATTTTGTGAGCATGTAAACTGATCAAGCTTAAAGAAAATCGTGCACCTTTACAGTAAAAAAAAAAATTCTCATAAAAAATACACCCATTAAGAAAAAAATTATTATTTATTCAGGCATCCCCAGACATTTGCCCAGGAATATTGGTATTTCGTAAATTTTAGAGGGAAATGGATGAGCTGCGCCCCCAATCTTCCTACGTTTATCAAGAGATGAAGAAAGGAAAAATAATTATGCTGACAAAATTGACAAAAGCATATTGTTTGTGCATAGTAGGTCCATGTTAGGAACCTGCAAATTAGTAGATATAGAAACCTCCAGTGATTATTAAGTCAGTTTAGATTTATAATCTTAAGTTTCGATTCCTGTTTATTTTTCTACTTGAAACCAAGAGCTGATGAATCAAACTCCTCTACAGTGTAGTTTTGATATGTAATTGCAAGTGAAACTAATTGCCTCAAGGGCCTCATTTCCTTCTATACAGAACCAGTTTTATACCAGAAAAAACAAAAGATGCGAATTATTATGACTTTGATTTAGTTTGACTAAAAATAGCTGTGGCGATGGCGTGACATAAACTTGAGATGTTAACTCGTCAATGGTATTTCGAGGCATTGTTAGGCATAAGTCATTAAGGCTTCGAAACCAAGACGTTATATGGTCGTGCGTGCTGTTCTGCAGTATTTTCTTGTCGATATGAGGGGTTTACGAATACTTTATAAATTGGTTTGGATCTGCTTCATAATATTCTCGCAAAGAAGATTCGGGCTATTTATTTAGGCTGAGTATTCTTGATGTTTTAGTAGAAACGTTCTTGGATTTGAAACATAAACTGTTCAGGAATACGTACCAAAATGACGATTTCACGTTTGACAAGCGGTTTGAAATCTCCGTGGAGAGTACTCTTATTCGTCTTTCCTTGGACAGCATGTCTGTTGACGTTAGCCCTTCAAGAACACTCGGTTGGATATACCAGGGAGATGGAACCCAACAAATGTCGTCTGGAGAACAAGACTGATGGAATCAAAGCTTTCTGCTCTAACCTGAGACTGAAGTCGATTCCACAGGATCTACCACCAAACACAACCACATTGATTGCGTCTGACAACATCATGCAACTCCTACAGAATGATTCCTTTGTGAACCTTACGCGGCTCGTGTCACTAAATGTAGGATCAAACCAAATTTCTCATCTAGATACTAAAACATTTTTGCCTCTCTCCAATCTGCGAGTCTTGGATATGGCAGGGAATAGGCTTACCAACCTGTCAGATGGTATATTTGATTCAAATCCTCTTCTATCACTCTTGATACTCTCTTCAAACTGTTTTTTATCCGTGCCCTCTGGTGCAATGGCAACACTTCATCAACTACAAATGGTATCTCTTGATCATAATAATATTCAGAAAGTTGACTTCACAGCTTTTCGTCATCTAAAGAACCTATCGGCCATTAATTTGAAAGGGAATGACATTTCTTCTCTTCAAGCCTCTGATTTTGAACCCCTTCAGAATTCCTCCCTAAATTACATCAATTTGGCAGACAATAAGTTACGGAGTCTTCCAAATGAGACGTTCTCATTCCTGTACAAAGTGAGAGTCCTTGATCTACACAAAAACAATTTCCTGGCATTTCGCGTGAGCTCCTTTCTTGGTAGTGTTAATATCAGTGAGTTGTCAGTGTCATATAGTGGGATTCGAAGTATTGTTCCTCTCAATGCCTCTAGTCTCCGCAACAAGACGACCCCTGCCATAGATTATGTTGAAATGAGTTATAATGAAATTTATGATATTCCGCAGAATGCCTTTAGAGGTTTCAGTCAAACCAGAACCCTTAATATTGCAAAAAACCGGATTAGAACCATGACTTACGATTCTTTCTGTGGAATTGATTCCTTGATGTACTTGGACATATCTGCAAACCGAATAAAATCCTTACCCTCTGGCATGTTTCGGTGTAACCCCCGACTGCAAGTACTGAACGTTGCGTACAATGAAATCTTGATTGTGAATCCTGTGGCTTTCCGAGGACTGTCGGTCCTTAGCAAGCTTGACCTTTCTTACAATCTCATTCGTCATATAGATGAACGCCATCATTGGAATAACACTGCACTTCGAGTTCTTGACATCTCCCACAATCTGTTTGCCCGGATCAACGAAAAGCTTTTCAGTGGGTGTTTAGCAAACCTCACAGTTTTGAACATATCCTACAATGTAATAGAGAGGTTCTCAGCACACACTTTCGACAATCTCTCATCCCTTCAAGAGCTTTATCTCACTGACATGTCAACGAATGTCGAAATTCTAAACCAGGTGTTTAGCGGTCTGAAGAATCTCATCAAATTGAATATATCATCCTCAAAAATAGCATCACTGGGCTCCATAAATCAGTTTACAAACACGACATCTCTGAGGGAACTCAGTATGCGCAAGAATAACCTGAAGAGCCAAGATCTGTTCGACAATGTTAATCAGTTATCTCTCTTTGGTGGGCTGATATCTCTCAGAAAGCTTAACCTCAGAGAAAACTACTTAACGGGTTTAGAGCCAGGGGTTTTCAGTCCTCTAACCAAGCTTTCGTCGCTGGATCTATCTCAAGGAAACATTGTCATTTTGAAACCAGGTCTTTTCAAAGGCATGACCTCTCTGAGAAGTTTGTACCTTGACAATAACTGTATCATGACTACCTCTGCCAATCTATTTTCTGGATTGGATAATCTTGGATCCCTTTTCCTTCGAAACAATAAGTTACGCATTCTGGACAAATACCTCTTTGGAGCGACTCCCAATCTGCGTTATCTCCATCTATCGAGCAATAAACTGAGTCAGGTGCAGAGCGATACATTTTTTCCTACGAACAAATCATTATTGATAGACGTTTCGAATAATCCTTTCTCTTGCACCTGCGAGTTGAGCTGGTTTAGAAGTTGGCTCGACGAAATCAACACAAGATTTGTAAATCCTGATAAAACTCTGTGTTCAAAAACATCCTTCAAAGCAGTGATTGACATGCCCATCCTATCATTTGATCCAGCTTATTTCTGTGGCATCAACATCATACTCATAACCAGTTTATTTTTCTTTGCTTGCATCGTTATTTATGTCTGTGTGCTGGTTTATCACAAATGCTGGTGGCTCAAACACAAGTTTTTACTTCTCAAACTAGCAATCGCTGGCTCTGGAAAGATAATGGAAGATTTCAAGGAAGACAATTATGACTTTCATCTCAACCTCATGTTCCATGATGCGGAAGAGGGATGGGTTGATCGGGTCTTGAGACCTGTCCTGGAGAAGAGGTTTCCGCATCTGCAGAACATCATCTACGGAGATAGAGACCTCCGTGTGGAAATGTTCTACATCAATGCAATCTATGATGCCATTGAGAACAGCTTCAAGACAGTCTTGTTGATGAGCAACCGGTCTATGTATGATATCTGGTGTATGACCAAGCTTCGTTTGGCGCTGGAGCACATCAACGACACAGGACTGGACAAGGTCATATTAATCTTTGTTGAGGACATCGAGGATGATGACCTTCCCTATCTTGTCACATTGTTTCTGAGTAAGAACAACCCTCATATGTGGTGGACAGATGATGAAGATGAACAGGAACTGTTTTGGGCTCAATTTCAGAGAAGCATGAGAGCAAATAGGGCTATAATCAATGCAATCCCTCTTTAGAAATCGAGCTGCTGATCATGTTATTAATTTCTGAATTCATTGCAGTATATAAAGTCTTTGTTTTGGCCTTGATTATATTTAAATGACAGTGGTAAATGTTTAAAAAACTAAGACTAATACCATGTGAGATACATTATCAAATGGCTTTCACAGGGGTTTGTCTTAGGCCCAACTCTATATTCTACCTACATATATAATTTGCTACTAGTTACTGACTTCTTCAACTTCATATTAATTGAACTCTTTAAATTTTAAGGCAAATTTTAATTGCTTTTATTTTTGTTTTTATTTAAATTTCCTTCAAAAAATTGAAATATTTTGTCTTTTCTAGATCATTTATAGTGTATTCATTCAATATTGTGTTATACATGAACGAAAATATTTCATTGTTTTTATTATTACTAAATACTACACTGTATTTTTATGTATAAAATAGGGTCAAATCGCTTCATAGGTGTACAAACTGATGGAAATGGATAACATTTTCTTTTGTTGGAAAATGGTAAAAATGTTTTTGTTTATTGTCAATAAGCAGAGTAACAATGCACTAATGCAAAAATCATCATGATAAAGAGATTGGAAAGTTATTTCAAACCATTGTTTCCATCTAATCATATTTTTTGCCATCAAAAATGTTGTTGAAGCAATGTGATGTACATGTATTGGTTGAAATTCACCAACATATTGATGTAATCTGTCTTCTATAATTGAGATGTATTGATGCATTGATACACATGACATGATGACTTTGAATCTCTCAACATGTTGCCAATTTTAATACTAAGGTTATATTCCTTTGTTTCTTCGCATCAAACACAATTTGGTCTTGCAACAAAAATGGACACAGTGTGCGCAGAAATGTCTGTCCTTTCTATCCATGCATCTGGTAGTATTTTTAGCACTTTGAATCTACAGTGAATTGAGTAAAACCACAAAATATAGAATGATTTCTAGAAAGGGATGAAAATAAATACAAGTTGGGATGTGGATTGGAGTCAGCTGGGCCATTTACATTGTCATAAAGAAAGGCAAAATATTTTTTTATTCTACAATTTGGAGTTTAATCAATTCAGATTTATATAACATGTTGGAGATATAGATATAATCTACATGCCTGTCTTTGCTTCTATTAGGAAATCTAAACTAATTAATTTGCTAAATTAGAACAGTTTAAGGTGTGCACCACCAATGAATATGCCTCAGCATACAGTGAAATAATCTCTGTGATTAATATGAGCTTGATATTGTGGTTAGAGATTATCACAACAGAAATTCTTACACCCAAGAGAGAAACCTTGGCAGTAAAACCTTGATGTCTCTCGATAGTTGAAACATGTCTGCCATAGTTTGCTAGATACTTCCTGATTTCATTTCAGGAAAACAGCTACGAATACAGGGACTTATTCAGTGATAACTATCTATTTTGTATATAATAACTTCTCCAAAATATCCCTTTTTGTGTGTGTTTACGATTGAAAAATACTTCCATTACATTGGGTACATAAAGTACCATTTTGTGGTCAATTTAACTTGGGCAAACGCACCACAAAATTAAATTGGTGATGAAAAAATTATATTTCTTAAATATTGAAATCATACACCACATTTAGCAATGACTGTTTACCTTTAAAGAAGTGATATGAAGGATGTCCCGATGGTCGTAATACGATTCCCTAATTTTATCCGTTATTTATTCTCATGAATCTAAAACTCTACCAGGTTTATTTAATTTCTCATTTAGCCTTTAACAGAAACAATAAAAAGAGCGGTAGGGCCTGATGTTGTATCAAAGTTTAGAATGATTTGAGATAGATAATTATATCATATTTTGTAACTTTCTTGTTTTAATAAAAATTCTATTTTTCATGCAATGGTACAGTCTTCTAAGTGTTTTTTCTTGTATTTTATATAACCATTCCCTTATTTGTGTTTTAATACATAAATTGTGTTTCATGATAATGATGTCGAGTTTGGGAGGTATGATGAGAGAACATGAATAGCTGTGAGTGGTCCATTATCACAGATTATGGTTTACCGGTAGTTTTCCTGCTTTGTCAATTAACTTGTAAGAAAATATGTTATTTGCAGATCCATGATTTTGTGAAGGGGGAGGGGTGGGTTTCAAAATCAACCCTTTTAAATAAATCTATAAATCAATCAATCAATAAATAATAATAAAAGAGGGAAGGGACTAACTCACTGAAAAAGAAAAGAACAGGGAAATATTAAATACTTTCTCAGGGGATGGGTCGAGAATCTCAAAATTTCTGACCTACCAAAAAGAAAGAATGAAAGAATTTTTTTTTTAAAGCTCTAAATATTGCCTTGGGGTACACTTTTGGGCACATTTTCCAATTATGTAATGATCAAAGGGCCTGTACCCCAAAGGTTCCTCCCTGTATCCGTAAATGTAAGTAAAATTTACTCTAACGTTAGTAAACTTGATCTTCAAATATCTTCTAAAGTTTCGTTTACATTTTTCATGCATGCATGCACATGTATACCTTGTATTTTTGTAACTGATACTAGACCCATAAACAACTTGGAACTGAAATGGAAATGGTTGTATCTCGATCAAACTTTTAATATGAGCGAGCCATAGATTAAAAGACGCACATACACAAATTTGTCAGCCCCCTACCCCTTTCCTGAATATCTCTCCAGCTTCTAAATTTTGTGAGCAAGTAAAATGGTCAAGCTTAAAGAAAATCGTGCACCATTACAGTTAAAAAAATTATTATAAAAAAAAATCTCATACAAAAATACACCCTTTAATTAAAAGAAATTACGTATTCGGGCACCCCCATGCCTGAATACAGAAGAAATGTGCCCATAAATTTTTGCGGTTCCAAAATTTTGCTGCCCCCTCCAGCTTCTTACTTTTATCAAGAGATGAAGAAAAGAAAAATAACTATGTTGACAAAATTGACAAAGCATATCGTTTGTGCATAGTAGGTCCATGAGAGGAACCTGCAATTATAGATATAGAAACCTCCAGTGATTATTTAAGTCAGTTTAGATGTATAATCTTAAGATTCGATTCCTGTTTATTTTTCTACTTGAAACCAAGAGCTGATGAATCAAACTCCTCTACAGTGTAGTTTTGATATGTAATTGCAAGTGAAACTAATTGCCTCGATCAAGGGCCTCATTTCCTTCTATACAGAACCAGTTTTATACCAGAAAAAACATAAGATGCGATAGAGAACTGTTATGCCCTTGATTTAGTTTGACTAAAAATAGCTACAGCGATGGCATGAGATACTTGAAATGTTAATTTGTCAATAGCGCGTCAAGGCATTGTTAGTCATGAGTCATTAAGGCTTCTAAACCAAGACGTGATCTGGTCGTTAGTGCTGCTATGCAGTATTTTCTTGTCGATATGAGATAAGTCTGAACTTGTATTTTACAATTCACAAATACGTTTTGATTAGTTTGGATCTGCTTCATAGTATACTTGCATTGAAGATTCGCGCTATTTCTTTAAGCCAATATTTTGAGAAGTGTTCTGGATGGTTTGATAGAAGAGTTCTTACATTTGAAACATAGATTGTTCAGGACTACGTACCAAAATGACGATTTCACGTTTGACAAGCGGTTTGAAATCTCCATGGAGAGTACTCTTATTCGTCTTTCCTTGGACAGCATGTCTGTTGACGTTAGCCCTACAAGAACACTCGGTTGGATATACCAGGGAGATGGAACCCAACAAATGTCGTCTGGAGAACAAGACTGATGGAATTAAAGCTTTCTGCTCTAACCTGAGACTGAAGTCGATTCCACAGGATCTACCACCAAACACAACCACATTGATTGCGTCTCACAACATCATGCAACTCCTACAGAATGATTCCTTTGAAAACCTTACGCGGCTCGTGTCACTAAACGTAGGATCAAACCAAATTTCTCATCTAGATTCTAGAACATTTTTGCCTCTCTCCGATCTGCGAGTCTTGAATATGGCAAAGAACAGGCTTACCCACCTGACAGATGATGTGTTTGATTCAAATCCTCTTCTATCACTCTTGATACTCTCTTCAAACTGTTTCTCATCCGTGCCATCTGGTGCTCTGGCAACACTTCATCAACTACAAATGGTATCTCTTGATCACAATAATATTCAGAAAGTTGACTTCACAGCTTTTCGTCATCTAAATAACATATCGGTCATTGATTTGAGTAGGAATATAATTTCTTCTCTTCTGGCTTCTGATTTTGAACCCCTTCAGAATTCCTCTCTGGATTCCATCAAATTGGCATATAATATGGTGCGGAGTCTTCCATTTGGAACATTCTCATTCCTTCACAGAGTGAGTACCCTTGATCTTCAGCAGAACGCGTTCCTCGAATTTAACGTGAACTCCTTTCTAGGTAGTGTTATTATCAGTGAGTTGTCAGTGTCATATTGTAAAATTGGGAGGATCGTTCCTCTCAAAGCCACTAGTCTCCATAACAAGACAACCCTTTCCATAGATTCTGTTGAAATGGATGGGAATGAAATTTGTTCTATTCCGGATTATGCCTTTAGAGGTTTCAGTCAAACCAGAACTCTTAATATTATAAAAAACAAGGTTACAACCATGACTAACGGTTCTTTCTGTGGACTTGATTCCTTGGAAAACTTGGACATATCTGAAAACCATATTAATTCCTTGCCCTCTGGCCTGTTTCGGTGTAACCCCCGACTGCTGGTACTGAACATTGCGCGCAATGAAATCTTGGTGGTGAATCCTGTAGCATTCTGTGGACTGTCGGTCCTTCTCAAGCTTGACCTGTCTCATAATTTCATTGGACGTATGGATACCCACCATTGGAATAACACTGCACTTCGAGTTCTTGACATTTCCCATAATCAGTATACGTATATAAACAAAAAAATCTCTTCCTTTGGGGTTTAGCGAACCTCAAAGTTTTGAGCATTTCCTACAATGAAATAGAGACATTCTCTGCATACACGTTCGACAATGTCTCATCCCTTCAAGAGCTTTATCTCACGGACATGTTAACGAATGTCAACCTTCTAAACGGAGTGTTTAGCCGTATGAAGAATCTCATCAAATTGGATCTATCATCCACAAACATAGCACCACTGGACTCCATACATCAGTTTACAGGGACGGCATCTCTTGAGGAACTCACCATGCGCAAGAATAACCTGAAGAGCCAAGATCTGTTCGACAATGTTAATCAGTTATCTCTCTTTGATGGGCTGATATCTCTCAGAAAGCTTAACCTCAGAGAAAACTACTTAACGGGTTTAGAGCCAGGGGTTTTCAGTCCTCTAACCAAGCTTCTGTCGCTGGATCTATCTCGAGCAAACATTGTCATTTTGAAACCAGGTCTTTTCAAAGGCATGACCTCTCTGAGAAGTTTGAACCTTGACAATAACTGTATCATGACTACCTCTGCCAATCTTTTTTCTGGATTGGATAATCTTGGCTCCCTTTTCTTTCAAAACAATAAGTTACGCATTCTGGACAAACACCTCTTTGGAGCGACTCCCAATCTGCGTTATCTCTATCTATCGAGCAATAAACTGAGTCAGGTGCAGAGAGATACATTCTTTCCTACCAACAAATCATTATTGATAGACGTTTCGAGTAATCCTTTCTCTTGCACCTGTGAGTTGAGCTGGTTTAGAACTTGGCTCGACGAAAGCAACACAAGAATTGTGAATCTTGATAAAACTCTTTGTTCAAAAAAATCCTTCAAAGCAGTGATTGACATGCCCATCCTATCTTTTAATCCAGCTTCTTTCTGTGGCATTAATATCATACTCATAACCAGTTTATTTTTCTTCGCTTGCATCGTTATTTATGTCTGTGTGCTGGTTTATCACAAATGCTGGTGGCTCAAACACAAGTTTTTACTTCTCAAACTAGCAATCGCTGGCTCTGGAAAGATAATGGAAGATTTCAAGGAAGACAATTATGACTTTCATCTCAACCTCATGTTCCATGATGCGGAAGAGGAATGGGTTGATCGGGTCCTGAGACCTGTCCTGGAGAAGAGGTTTCCGCATCTACAGAACATCATCTACGGAGATGGAGACCTCCGTCTGGAAATGTTCTACATCAATGCAATCTATGATGCCATTGAGAACAGCTTCAAGACAGTCTTGTTGATGAGCAACCGGTCTATGTATGATGTCTGGTGCATGACCAAGCTTCGTTTGGCGCTGGAGCATATCAATGACACAGGACTGGACAAGGTCATATTAATCTTTGTAGAGGACATCGAGGATGATGACCTTCCCTATCTTGTCACGTTGTTTTTGAGTAAGAACAACCCTCATATGTGGTGGACAGATGATGAAGACGAACAGGAACTGTTTTGGGCTCAATTTCAGAGAAGCATGAGATCAAATAGGGCTATAATCAATGCGATCCCTCTTTAGAAATCGAACTGCTGATCATGTTATTAAATTCTGAATTCATTGCATTGTATAAAGGCAATATTTTTGGCCTTGAGTATATTTAAATGACAGTGGTAAATGTTTAAAAAACTAAGACTAATACCATGTGAGATACATTATCAGATGGCTTCCACAGGGATCTGTCTTAGGCCCAGCTCTATATCCTACCTACATATATAATTTGCTACTAGTTAGTTACTGACTTCTTGAACTTCATATCAATAGACCAGTTCACGGTTAGCACATTACTGCAATGACCCCAAATATCCACATATCTTCAAAACATGAAGAGGTCCCACTTTGTACATTTTGAAATAATCACTCCTACAGCGATGGAAATGCTACATAAATAACCTTTGTTTCCACTTTTCAAAGAATACTTCCACCTGTGTATCATGGAGTGCATAAATGAATAATGATTACATAACTTTCATGAGCACGTATCCAGTATTTCGTCTCCATGTATTTCACAATTTGTTCTGCAATGACCTTTATCTGCTCATGTTCAGACTGCAACCGTGAACGGGCTTATTGAACTCTTGAAATTTTAAGGCAAATTTTAATTGCTTTTCCTTCCAAAATTTGAAATATTTTGTCTTTTCTGTTGCTACCAGGTTCTCTGAATTCATTTTGACTACTTGTTTAAAATACATTTGAGTCTGTGTTTGCGTATGGTTGTCTTGCTATTTATAAACTGTTCAGTATAAATCTATAAAATTGATTTTGGGTGCTTGCCAATAATAAATTGTTGGCCTAGGTTATGGTTTTCGTATAAAATAAGGCTTGATGGAGTTGAAATAATAAGATGTGTCAATCCAAGAGTGTACGTCCGTCATGCGTCTGCTATGATTTCCTGTTAACTTTTACAGCTCTATAAATAATCTCCCTGTTATAACTGCTTTAGATGATGTCATTGTCATGTTTAAAGGAATAGTTGAGTGTTGGTCAATACTCACATTAGCGAACGAAACTATGATCTAAACATAAAAAACATACAATAAATGTCTAAGAATGCATCATTGAAGATATAAATCCGAAATATTACATTAGAGTGAATTTATATGCAAAAAACCTGTTCGACTGCAAATGATTTTATTTATCAAAAATTTTACTTTCGAGGCGTGTTCAGTGTAATTGTATAGCGCCACCTCTCGGTCAAGCGGCAGCACACCGTGAATTTTCGCCAAGACGACGATCGGATATGGGCGTGCAAGTAATATCCGAACCATGTCTATAGCGCGCTGACTGATTTATATTGTACACATTATGGTATGCGAGGCCTGCACATAATTGCATGGTCTGTGGTACCGGTAGCGCTATTGTTTTTGAGCGCGATATGCGAATACTGTATGTGTATGTAGTGCGAGTACGCTGGACCTAGTAGTAGTGTATGTGTATGTATTGTACGTCGTATGACCCAGTTGATTACTTCTACAGTGTAAAGAAAGTGGCTTACTCTATCTATCAACCAATATGTGAGACAATGCAAGGGCAATTTTGTATTTCGTTTGTAGGAACAAAGCTGTGGAATGATCTCCCAGATGAAATTAGATTAAAAACATCGAGGTTATCTGTCCACCTACCTTCTATGTAAATGACGTGGGCCTTCGTTTTTCCTTTAGTTTTATATTACTTGTCTTCCTTTTATAATATGTGAAGAGTTTCATTCCAAAAGGAGCCAAATCCACTTTGGGTACTTCTGAGTAAATTGCCTTTTTTATTTCTCCACTTTCCCTTTAGCCATGTATACCTTCATGTTGTTATATATGTTAAAGGTGTCACCCTGCATGAACCTGATTATCTGCCAATAATGATAGGAAAAAATCTTCCCTTCGGCTTTTCTGATGTTTACTAAATTTTTTGATTTTTTATTTTCGTGGATTTAGCTCCTTTTGGAATGAAACATGTTATTGTACCTAAAAAATAAATCATATTTTCTCAATAAAGTCACTGAAATTTTATTCAAATTTAGCAGCAAACCTTTCCTTTTAAATAATAATAGTGAAATCACACATAAATATAACCTTTCGAAAAGAAAGTAAACAACATTATTACAGTTTCATTCCAAAAGGAGCTAAATCCATTCAATTCCAAAAGAAGCTAAATCCATGTTTCATTCAAAAAGGAATTACTAAATCCACATTTTTTTTTTTGGCACATATCGCACGACAACCAAATGCCCTAAGATGTTGATACCCACTTTGATAGAAAAATAAGGTTTTACAAAATGGAAAAATACTAGAAGAGAAAAGGTAAGAAAGAGTAAAGACGGATTGAGGACGGTAAACCCCAAACAAGAGACTCAAAAGATCTACCCCAGAATCCTCTCACCGGCACCAGAGTTGCCTAGGCCAATGATGGCCGAGAAGATTGCGCAATGTACCGCGCCGGTCTGGCAGGAAGGTGCCAATTGCGGTGAGGGGTTTTCATGGACCAGTAGATCTGAGATTATATTATCCAAAAAAAAGAGATGAATATGAATTGACAAATAGTACCAAAAATAGAAGAAAAAAAAGAAATAAAGTGAAAGGCGTAAATATTCTAAAAAAGAATGAAACGCCGATAATACCAAACAACAACAACAACACAAAATCTAAAAATTTGATAGAAATCAGAAATAACTGGTGGATTTTTTGTCTTATCATATGTTATAGGTCCAGAGCGACACCTTTAACATATATATAACAACATGAAGGTACATGGCTAAAGGGAAAGTGGAGAAATAAAAAGAAATAAATTTAAAAAAATATTAAAAATTGTTGTATCAGTATACTATAATGAATAACAGTAGTGAATTAATTTAACATCTTACTTGATTCATACTTGTCCATAATGCAGTGTTTTTCAGTATTCTTATTTTGGTACTGCATGCAATTGTAAAGTTTAAAAAAAAAGTGATTGTAACTTCTTGTAAATAAGTTGTGTTCTACAGTGCCTGTGTATTGCATGACCTACGTCAGTACGTGATAACTTGTAAATGTGTAAAGACATAAGATTTTAATATAATTATAGTAATGCTAAAATGAAGATACATAACATATTTTTATGGTGTACATTGAAAGCTTTATTCGGCCATAACTAACAGTTAAATTTACACAACATTATTGAGATGAATACAAATTATAATTGCTGTACTGAAGGCAATATTTAAACGTGATGTTGATTTCAACCATTGCATACAAACAGATCATGTGTATTAAAAAAGGCACATTTTTATTTAGCATCTATCGCTATGACAACTTTAACCGTCGTCATTAAGAAGGAGCAATATACTTTATTTGTATACCACCATGTCTTGTTACTTATTAGTTACTGCTTATTTATATACATCTTATCTTGTGTCTTTCATAAAAACTTGACATACTCTATAGGCAATGTGTAGATAAGTTTACCAAAGAAAAGTATCTATAACAGTAATGTTTCTACGCGCTTGACAAATATACTATTACCCCGGTCATTTGATTCAGTGCTTGCCCGCACACAATGTTTTGACTAGTACGTGATCATACAAATTTTGCCGAGAAACTGCCTACTAATTGATATATTTGGTAAATTATTATATCTATTTGGACTTGATAGATATAACGCATGTGTCCCGCACTTGTGCGTAGTCCCATATACATCTTTCTGTGTACAGTGCTTGTAACTTTACCAAGACTGGGCCAATTTTTTTATCATTTCGATGATTCTAGAACCTTGCAGTACACACCAAGACTTATATGCTAGATGATCAACCTTTTCTGATCGATTCCACAACAATCCTTTCACAATGCAGTCGCATGACCATAACTGGTTTTATCTTTTAAGTTTCACATCTTACTTTATATATAAATGCTTTAAAAATTGTCTGAGTGATTCTTTTCCTTAATGTGTACGAGTATACATGTATACATACTCCATATCAATCTCAAATCCTGAATCATATCAGTTTCAGCACAAAATTAAGTATAGTTAGGTACATATATGTCTTTCATCTTCCCTAATGCTCGACTATGAATATCACCTCAAGTGATTAACATCCAACATAAGGTTTTTCAAAAAAATAGCACAGACATTTCAAAACTGCTCATGTCCTATACGCACACAAAAGACAATTCTGCGTTGTGTGTACTGAGTTTCATATGAATCGATCAAACTACTTCCAATAGTTTGCTCACATACTTATTTTACACACTGCACATGCATTGAGTTTTATACTGTTATTATAATGCCTCATCAAAGATACCAAAACTATAAAATTGCTAAAACTTGGAAAGAATATGCTCCACAAGATTATTAAAACAAAATTGTATTCTTTGTGCAAAGCTTGGTTACCATGGAGGTACCTTAACAGACAGACACAACAAATGTGTCTTGCACACCCTCGGGTCAATCGGTATACCAAGTTTTATTACAATTTGCAAAAAAATTGGAAAAAATTTGACCCAGTTTTTTACAATAGACCAACAGAAAGACTCGCCTGCCCAACTGTATCCTTATTCCTTTATACACCCTTTCAAACTACAAAGTAGTTACAGGCAGCATATCTCTTGATGGTATAACCTTGAACCGCAATACTTTGGCGTTGAGCTGATTCACGTTCATTGATTCAAATGATGCATGAAACCAACTGTTTTGCTGTCTTGTGATCATTTCTCTTTTTCGCTTGCATTATTTTAGTCACATTGATTGCATTAAACAAAAAATGAAGACTATTTACAATAAGATATTCTACAAATCTTTCTTCTGTCCATGTTGATTTTCAACAGGTTCCGAAGTATAGTCTTTTTCATGATCGACTGTCACCTCAGTTACATGCACAGTCACTAAAACCAAACACATTGTTGACTAATGGTTTGACCTCTTGGCTGTAAATTTTATAATTACTACCGTAACTTCTTCAAGGAATATAGGTTGCCAAATAGATACAAATTGAAATATCCACCATTTCCACATGAGCAAGCACTGATTTTATCACAAATTATGAATTGTATAAATCACATAGAGCTTTTATACACTGATGTCACAATTTGTCTTTTATATTCCTACATTTCTTCCATTTGTAAACTTGCCAACCTCTTATTGTAATACAATATACAAGTGCCAAGCATGGTGGCTAATCTAGCAACAATAACAATTTATTTCTGGTACATGTATATCATGTGTTATGTGATTTTTTTTCTCCAGATAACCACATCCCCATGATCCCCAGGGACACTCTAGTATCAAGTTTGGTGGTATTTTGTCAAAGGGTCTCTGACATATCAAGAATACATGCTCGTAATGCTAAGCCATGCAATCTTTCACCTCCGGACCACAAAATCATTAGCAACCAAATGAGTCCAAAATGTTAAGTTCCAACCAATCCTCAAGATAGCCTAAAAACATGCCACATGGACAAATTAAATTGAGGCGATTAAGAGTCTTGCATGCAATCATGCAACAATGAACCTCATTTGACCTTTGACCTACT